TAACGAATCAAAGATAAACAAATAAAGAATGAAAAAAATTTGAAGTAAATACTAAAAATATAAATTGCATCTATACTAGACAATGAATTAAATACTTATAGTGAAGAAGATAGTTCAAGAAGGAGAAATCACATAGAAAAGCTAGCAGTCATCATCTACTTCCATAACATCTGTATCAGGCACTGCAAGAACATCTATTTCTTCAGTTCATCCGAAATCAACGTATAAAAGACTCTTCCGGCTTCACCAATTTTGATTATTCTTAGTATCACGCGCAATAGCTGAGAATCAACTATAGGTATCTCAGAAGCTCGGAAAAATCGAAGGCAACTACTCGCGTCCCAGAAAAATATTCCATGTTCAGGAGTGCACATATCCTTCCGGACGACAATCATTTGAAGGGAGGGTAAGATCAATATGTGAGACATCAGGAGCCTTACCTTCCTTTGATAATTTCTGAATAAGAGAATCTTGATTCTTGATGGACTTCGAAGCAGAAGCAGATTTAGAAGAACCAACTTTACTTAACATTTGCTTTAGAAAGGAGAGTTGTGGAGGGGAAGGCAGCTTGTAATGCATCTTGATCATTTGTATCTTTTTTAGAAAGCGATACAAATGACTCAAGACAAATTCCTTGTACATACTTCTGCTTTTATTAAGAAACTTGATGATCTCCATCCACTCAGTAAGACCGTAGGCATTGATCCAAGATAGCTTTTCTGTCCTCACTACTCTGTTTTCTCGACCAATAATCAAATAGATCAGATTGGAATCATAGGTCAATTTTTGAGGACCTTTGATTCTGGCACTGACAATTCGAGTAGTAATGTAGCGTCAGAGAATTGAGTCATTAAACCATTTAATTCTTTTCTCTTTGGTTTCTTCAGACTCAGATAGTGGGACCAAGGAGTGAGATATGTTGGCTTCCTCAAATTACTTTTGAAGAGCAATTGATTTGGCTGCATCCTCAGCAGAAATACCTAGGAGATGAAGATCAGTTTCTTGAGGACATGAAGCTTTAAGCACAAGTCTATCGGCTGAGGAGACTTCAGATTGATATTTAGTAATTTTATCTGCTTTAGCTGCAGCAGCTTCTTCATCTGAGGTCATAGGTGCCTTTCCTTTTCTGTGAGTTGAGACTAAGTCCCCAGAAGCAGTGGGAATATCATCTTGAGAAGGTATAGTACCAACATCAACAGATAATGAAGGCATAGAGCACGGTTGCTCCCCCTCAATAGGTACTGCAGCTCTATCATCATGATCAAATAGCTCCCTCTCACTAGGAGCATCACAGTCTGACTCAGATGAGGAAGAAGAGGTAGAAGCTGAGTCGTCGTCCCCGTTTTCACTGATAGTTGGATCAACTGTCTTCTATCCCTCAGTGGGAATAGGGGAAGGCACAAGAGCATTAACAGGGGGACCGTCCACATTGCTAGTGGAGGAAGGCACATAAGTAGCAGCATGGGAAGAAGGAGTAAAGGGAGCACCTGTGGCATGTAGCAGACGTAATATACCGCGATGAAGAGTGCCAAGAAGACCAGAATCGGACTCAACACGGCGACTGACGTCGGCTAACATAACCCTGTCCGCTTCCGTGAACTGACTAGGACCCAAGTCAACATATATCTTTGTATCTCTGTCTAAGAACAACTTGGATATCTATGTCTATGCATCCACCTTGGAGTGTAGATCTGCTAGAGACTGGAGAATTGCCTGATTTGTGGCAACCTGACTTTCTGATCGAGCACTAAGATCCGCTACAGCTTTAGAGATACTAGACTGAGAATCTGAGAGAGCAGTCATGCGAACATCAAGAGAAGCAACCGTATCTCTAATAGTTGTAAAATCAATGCCATGATCTTGCAAGGTGGCATTGTGCTGGCGCATCTCAGAAGTGAGGCTGGAGACAAAGCAGTCCAATCTCCCAGATAAATCAGTGTTGAGGGAGGTCTGTTGAGAGATGAGCAGCTGACACTGAGATGAGAAACCCCTAAACATGTCTACCACTTCAATAGGTAGATCATAGATCACATCAGGAGGGGAGGGAGCGGAGAACTAAAAATCCGATGCAGAAGGGGGTCTTGAGGGAGAAACAACAGCTGGAGTAGGTGAGCAAGCTTTGATTGGGCTTGCTGACCCACTCGGAGAAGAACCACCAACACTCTCAGTACCACTGGCGCCCTGAGAGTCACCGATGGGAGTATCACTGATGTTGGCGTGAGGCTCAACATCTGTATCAACGATATCGACGTAAGGCTCAATATCTGTATCAGCAACACTGGTGAGAGGCTCAGTGTCTGTATCACCAACAATGGCAAGAGGCTCGGTGTCTGTATCATCGATGACTGCGTGAGGCGGGTCACCGATTACCACTATAGTAGAGGTAGTAGGCTGGTAAGGCTCACCACCTACATCCATAAGAAGATAATGGAGAAAAGGGATGTCAATATCAGACGGTGCTGATAAATCATCCATCCATGCAATATCATCAAGATCATCGATCTCGGGTGATAGGCCGTGAATATATGGAGAAGAGGAAAGACCTCGGAAAGGGGAGGTATTCGAGTCATCACCAAGGTCATGTAGAGATGCCAAGGTGGAGTCATGTGGGATCCCCGTATGTACAACAGTGTCCTATTGAGAGGGCACTGAGGAGCTAGGGGTGTATAACAGATGTACTGGGCTCAGTAGGACCAACTTCCACTACCTTGGACTGTTGAGAGTCCTTGATTGGAGATGTGTTTTTAGCCCTTTTTGTCTTCTTGGTCTTCGTACAGGAAGAGCCAAGAGTGGATAATCTAGAGTGACTCCGCTTTGAGTGAGAGGGGTGAGAGGCAGGGTGAGACTTCGAAGGTGCTTTCGAAGTCATAGCCTCAGAAGCAGATGCAGAGGATGTGGGAATAAAACTATCTGCCAACCGTCTCCGGACAGAAGAGGCGGCCTCTTTTGAGGCAGTAGCTGAAGAAGTAGAAAGAGGAGGGGCCACTGACATGGAGGAGTGTTGGGTGACAGAAGCAACATGAGGAAAGTCCCCAACTACTGTGGTCACAAAGCACTCTCCCCATACAGGGTGAGAAGATGTGGCAAAAGAAACCATACCTGATGGAAGAGGAAGATCTGTAGACAATGATGCCTTCTTCAAAGTCTGAATGCCAACTTTAGACACTTTGAGGTCGTAGAAATTATCAGTATCGGCCGGCATACATGACCCAAGTTTGTCAGCAATCAACATGGATATAAATCTGATAAAAGGCATAGTAGAGCATTTGGCACTACCCATTTTCTTTACCAACTCTCCAAAAAAATAACCAGCAAAGTCAATTTTTCTCTAGAAAATAAGCGCATGAGCTAGCTGGGTAACACTAGTGGGTGACTGATCCATTCCTCCAGTCTTGGACTCAAACATTGAATAAGATGTGAAAAGAAAAAGTTCCAAATACTACCCATATTCTTCCTATAAAGAGTGCTTTGTTTTATCAAAGAAGGGTCTTGCACATAGCCCATGGTGGAAGCAACAATATGAAGATTATCAACAGATACGAGTTCATCATAAGAGGGATAAGTAGGAAGATCCAACATTCTTCTTAAATCATCAGCAGTAAATGATACATCATTAGCAGATAATACAGAGGCATGCACAGCTTTGGTTGATGCATCATATACACAAGTGGCCCAAAAAGCACGTAGTAGAGATTTACTCATCTTTGGAGAATAAGTAAAATCTTTGAAAAGAGGGCACTTACGTAGAAATTCGATGATGATGTAGAAATCCGGATACTTTTCATTGTGATCCAACAATGCCACAAAGTTGCATGGAGAAGATGTAACATCATCAGCAGTGAGGGAAACAGATTTCTTAACCTTTAGATCTTTGGAGGGAGTTCCAACTTTAGAAGCCATGGATGATGAATCTTGAAAACACACAGTAAAGTCTAGAAGAGATGAGAGGTTGAGGTTTTAGAGAAGATGAGAGTTTGAGGTGTTAGAGAAGATGAGGGGTTGAGGGTTTTTAAAAAAATGAGAAGGGATAAGGGAAATAGATATTGGGTAAAAAGGTGTAACCTTGGGAAAGTAAAAAGGTAAGACTTTACAAGGAAAAAAAATAGGTGAGAAGATAGGGGTAAGGGGTGAGCGGTGTGGGTTCTTAGGCGAGTATAAGGTGGATAGGATGTGATGTAGGTAAGGGAGAGGTTTGAAAAAAAAATATGTTGGTGATTGGGGGACAAGAACCGATCGGCGAGTGAGAGAGGGATCAAGAGACCGAGGATGGAGAGGGATTCAGTTTGGGGGGGTTGTGAGATCGGTTTGCGGGATTTGGAAGGGTCGGTCTAGAGTGAGGTAAGCCGAAGGTGTGGGGGTGAATCAGTGTGAAGAGATGGAGAGGTAGGGTTTAGAGATGGTGAGGCCGAATGAGAGAGATAGAGAGGGATATGTTTGAGGGAATAGAGGGAGAAGCCGAAGGGAAGGGGAGAGGAGGGGGGGTCGTTGTGTAGGGTGTTTAAGATCGTTTTGTCAAGTGAAAGAAGTGGGGGGAACGGTTGGATAGTGGGTAATGGGATTAGTGTTCGGCGTAGAGGGTAAGTCGGTTTGCGGAAAGAGAGTGTGAAACCGAATTGGAAGGGGGCGGCTTGAAATGTGTGGATCGGTTTAGAGAGAGAAGCGATTGAGGTTTGGTTTAGTGAAGAATCGGCGAGAATGGAGTGGCCAAAGGTAGTTCGGTGTGAGAGAGGGGAAGCCGATTGGGTTGTGTGATAGATAGGGTTTAGGTTCGGCTTATGAAGAAATGGGTGAGAGATGTGGTTGTAGGTAGAAGCCGAATGGAGAGATGGAGGAGGCCGATCGAGAGAAGGAAATGAGCCCTAAGAGAGATGAGTAGGAGTCCAAAGTTCAGCCCAAAGACTACACAAGCCGGCCCACCTACACAACCCCGTTTCTAAAAAACTTTTAAAGCATAAACAAAATAATCAAAACCCAAGATAAAATACACCAAAAAATTTAAACCATTATAGACAAACATAAAATAAAAAACTTTTTCCTCTTTTTCTTTAATTAATTTTTTTAAGATAAAATAGATTACAAAAAAAATATGATTTTAAGTAATTCATACAGAGACTTTTTAGAGAGAAAAGTAGAAATTGATTTTAAAAAAAATATACGAGTGTAAAACTCAACATTTTCAAAAAATTCAATATTTTTAGAAGGAGGAGATATACTCACACAGATATCGGACACAAACTATTTTTAAGCAAATGACACAACAAAATTTTTGTGAAGACACATAACTCAAAGGAATTAGTGAAGACCAAAAAAAATTATTTGTCAACATTCAATATTCCCAACTCACTGATCAAAAAATTAAATCGAGCTTCATCAAGAGGCTTGGTAAACAAGTCACCGAGTTGATAGTCTGTAGGGATAAAATGAAGTTCAACATCACCTTTCATCACATGGTCTCTGATAAAGTGATATCAAATATCAATATGTTTTGTACGAGAGTGAAGAACTGGATTGTTGGCAATAGCGATGGCACTTGAATTGTCACAGAAAATAGGAATTTCTATGAATAACTGCTCATAATCAGCTAACTGATTTTTCATCCATAATACTTGTGCACAACAGCTACCTGCAGCAACATACTCAGCTTCAGCTGTTGAGGTGGACATAGACTGTTGCTTCTTGCTAGTCCAACTGACTAACTTTCCACCCAACAACTGACAACTGCCAGTAGTACTCTTTCTATCAACTTTACAACCTGCATAATAAGAATCTGAAAAACTCGTTAGATCAAAACCTGAGTCTTTGGGATACCAAAGACCCAGATTGGGAGTACCCTTTAGGTACCTGAAAATGCGTTTAACGGCTGCCAAGTGAGATTCCTTTGGATTCGCTTGGTATCTTGCACAAAGACATGTGGAGAACATAATATCTGATCGGTTAGCAGT